GGGAAAACATTAATACTCACCCTCTATACCATAAAAGAGAGGCAAGGACCAGTCACAGAACTAAGCTCTTACACATATTGATTTACTGGTTTTTCATACAACACTAAAATGTAGGTATCATTTTGCCAAAGTTCAAGACTTTTAACCAAATTCATGTGGTAAATAAATAGCGGCACTGTATTAAAATCCAAATGAAACTCTATTCTTTCTAAAGAAACAGAAAATTAAATAATTGTAGGAAGGAAAATAGTAAGAAAGGTAGTTAGTTCCAGGATGATGACCTCTCGATTCCTATGGCATTTGGGTTGCAACCCTCTTTCTCCATTTTCCACATCCTGCCTGTAGTGTTTCATGTCTGCTTTACTAGATTATAAATGCAGAAACTGTGACACGGCTATTTTTGTGTCCTTTTCCTAATATACATACCATACAATATCTAGTACTGTTATTATTATTGTTATCGTTACTATACTATTCCTATTATTATTATCATTATGAATAATAATACCTACTTTTATTTCATAGTCTTAATCTATTCAATCCTCCCAACCACTCTATGATGTAGGTACTATGATTATTGCTGTTTATAGATAAAGAAACTTGAGGCACAGAGATGTTAGACAACTTGTCCAATATCACACAGGTAGCAAATAATAGGACTTGGAGCGCAAATCAAGCAGTATGGTTCATACGTTCTCTGTTTACACCCATTAGGGACTCAAAACACCTTTCTTATTATCCTAACAAGAGTGAGGTGGTTAAATAAAAACAGCTGTGTCAGGGGCCATATTAAATGCTTATACACAATGTGGGGCAAAAGTAGATTTATAATTGTTCACATGGAAAAGAATATAATAATGAATAAATAATAATATAAGAATTAACTTCCATATTCACAACTGTAAACCTACTTTTCCCCAAGCTGTATGTTATTTCATTTAAAACTCACAAAAATTCTGTGAGACAGAGATTATAACAACCTGTGAGAAACCGAGTTTCAGTTGTTTGGAGAAGTTAAAAACTTGTCTAAGGTCAGAAAATTAGTAAGTATATTTTTCCCATTCTACACATTGCCTCACTGATAACAATGTATATATAAATTGTTGAGGGTTATGGTATCTACTATGCAGGGAGATCAATTAATACAAATTATCCTGCATCTCTAACAATAGGCATTAATTACAACAACCCACTAGGTTATATATTCTACAGTTTAATGTTCTAATGAATGTTCTAATGAACTTAAGAGTAGAGAGGGCCAGGCCCTTTGCTAAACAATAACAAGGAGTGCCTGTGAAGATTCACCGACAACTATTGTTCATTCCTCCTCAGGCTCATGCCCCCTCGCCCCCAAGCTCCTTGCAGCCCCTTGAGAAAAACTCTAGCACCTCCAAGCCCGGAGTGCCCTTCCTCACCTAGTCCACCTGGAAACCTCTTTTTTGTGCTTCAAAATCCTGACCACCTTCTCTGTTGAGCTCCCCTGCTTTTGTTTGTGCTCTCTGTATTTTGTGCTCACCTCTAAAGCACCGATCATAACTTCTTACCTTAATTTGAGTATGAGCTTTTGGGAACAGGAACCAAATCCTATTCATCTCTGTAACCCAGAGACTAGTCTAGAACCATAATAGATACTCAAGGTTTGGTGAATGAAAGAATGAAGGAATGAATGAATAAATGAATGAGTGAACACATGTTCAGTACTGTGTCACAAAAAGAATAGGGTAAAAAAAAAGCTTACCATTCATTCAATGGGGAAGGATAAATATATCAAGTAATAATTAAAGATTTTTGCTAGAAATACAAATTTGATAGTCATTATAAAGAATACACGTTTTTTTATGTACAAATTGGAATAAGGTATTAGAATGTAAACTGCTAGATGGCATACAATTAAATAAATCTTTAGGTACTCCTAGAAACCTATACCCTCCTATTAGAATATTTGTCATTTGAGTTCATAACACTAAATAACAAAAGGCAAAATTATAGATATAGTCCACTTGGAAACTTACAACTGTTTTTATTATGAACTAGAGGCCCGGTGCATAGCACTGTGGGGTCCCTCGGCCTGGGCTGCGGGGATCAGGCCGAAACCGGCTCTCCGACATTCCTCGAGGGGTCCCATATTGTGAGAGGGCACAGGCCAGACCGAAGGACCTCACTGGTACACAATTAGGGCCAGGAAGGGACCGTGGGAGGGCTCCAGAGCGTGTCTGACCTGTCTGGCCCAGTCCTGATCAGAGCAATCGGGGCACTAATCTTTTTTTATTATTATTGATTTTGGAGAGAGATAGAAACATCAGTATCAAACCAGCAACCTACTGGTGCATGGGACAATGCTCAACTGAGCCACACCAGCCAGGCCTGATATTCTTAACTGTAGTGAAAGTTTCTGTAATGCTAGTAAGGCAGGCATATCAATAGATGGGGTTACCTAAAATATATAACTCCCATAATGAAAACAGAACCAGCTCTAGGCCCCAAACTTTCCCCCTGTATTTAGGACCATTTCCAAGCTACTCTTATCCCACTTTGGTGTAAGAGTGGAAAAGGGTTGTGTGGTCACAAACTATCCATCTTAGCCTGTTCATCTGATGATAACACATCTAACTCACCAACCCCTCTCCACCCCTCATGAGCCCCTGGCCACAGTTACTGATTCATGCAGCTAAACTCAAAGTTGGGAGGTAAATTTTAATACTGAGAGTTTAAAATATTGAATATAAGGAGTGCTGATATCTGATAAACTGCACTTTTCTGATTGCTGGCTAAGGCAAGGAGAAACTACAAACCAGAATCCAGTGTCTGGTTGACACAGGTAAGACTGAAAACAGTGCCCTAGCTGGTTTGGCTCAGTGGATAGAGCATCAGCCTGCGGATTGAAGGGTCTCAGGTTGAATTCCAGCCAAGGGCACATGCCTGGGTTGCAGGCTCCATCCCCAGTGTGGGGCATGCAGGAGGCGGCCGATCAATTATTCTCTCTCATCATTGATGTTTCTCTCTCTCTCTCCCTCTTCCTTCCTCTCTGGGATCAATGAAATATATTAAATAAAAAAATAAATTAAAAAAAGACTGAAACCCGTAATGAACTGAACAGCTCTGCCAACCCAAGAAAGGCTCCTGCCCAAGACCCTCAGCATAAATAGGACCAACAGAGGGAAGAGGACAGGGTGTGTGGCAGCATGGCATTCCTCATCCCTTCACTCACTCCTGTGCTAAGGCTTGTGGGAAATACCGAAATGAAAAAAGACTTGATTCGGCTGTTAAGGACTTTGCCCATCAGCTATCACATAAGGAAGAACGTAAAGACCCACAAGGGAGAGACAAAAGCAGTGTGTTCAAAAGCAGAAGAAATCTCATAGTTAGGAAGCTAGCAGGTACTTCTGACTGTAAAGCATACCGGGGTTTTAAAATTTTAGAACATTAAGAGAAAAGACATTGCTAAACCTTGTTAGCAATGACAGCTGCCATACTGTGTGCCCCCACATCCAGGCTGCTGGCGTCTCCGAGGATGGAGGGAGAGCTGGTGTGCGTGGCGAGTGGCAGCAGGAGCCAGCTGTCTGCCCATGTTAGTCAGCCACGCCATGCTCACAACATCCCCGAGCAGGTACTGTCACTGTCTCCATTTCACAAAGACAACCGGGGCAGAGAAGTTGAGCAACTTGCCCAAAGTCACCCCACTGGTAAGCGGCACAGACAGGATGTGAGTCCGGAATGAATCTGTGGCCTTCGTCACGCCAGAGCTCTGCCTCCCAGCTGAGCGTTTGTGGTTACGTTTATCAGGACACATACAGCTCCCTGGTACCAGGTAATTTTTGGCCAACTTTCCCCTCGAAACCCATCCATTATAGATCTAGTTTTTGGAATTGGTATGACTTTCCAGGACGTCGTGTTCACGATCTTTAAAGAGAAACGCTCTTTGTACATGTGCTTCCAACGCGAGCGCTGAAATTCTCTTCGTTCACCTGGCAGGGGAAGGGAGTTGGTGGGGGGGGGGGGACGAGGGGGAGGGCAAATGCCAGTTCATGGGCGGCGCCGGGGGCAGGAGTGGTTGAGGCTGCAGTGAGGACTGGAGCTCGCAGGCACCATGCCTTGGAGTCCTTCTCATGGCCTGGGGCAGATTGCCTGTCCTGTAATTCCTTCTCCATCTGCACAGTGGGTCTAACTACAGTGCCCTCCTCTGAAGTCCTGGGGATGAGTCGATATGATCCACTTAAATTGCTAAGCACGGTACTGGATCCAGAGAAGGCTCAATAATCGCTGGCTTTCATTATTTAGATCCTGGGCTGCTTCTATTTCCAGATCCGAGCCCTCCGGCAGCCACAGAAAATGCTTTCTGGGTCCCAGAGCTTCCCTCGGTCCCTCCGCACACCTCTGTGTCCCACAGCGACAGCAGACGCAGGCTTCCCTGGCCCCCGGCCCGGAGGAGGAGGAGGCCGTGTCGCCTTGCTCAGGCCGGGGGAGGAGACAGGCTCCAGACTGGGTCCGTCCGGGCGGCACCACCTCACATCACCCCGATTTCTCACTTGGGGGCACCCCTGGCAGGGCGGGCGCCCGGCCCGTCGGACGGCTCGGCTGCAGCAGCTGTGCGCGCGCCGGCGCCGGGAGGGGAGCTCAGCCACCTGCCAAGCCGCGGGGTGGGCACCCCTCCTGCACCGCATCCCCGGGGACTTCGCCCCTCTGGCTGGGAGGGACCCGGGACCGACCTAGCGGTGCCATCGGGGCGAATTCCTCCTCCTTCTCTCCCTCCCCCTCCTTATCCTCCCCCCTCCCCCCCAGTCCTCTGAAATGCATTCCCGCGGTTCCTAGGAAGGGACGAGGGAGCAGCACCAAGCGCTGCACAAAGCCAGGTGAAGGAAGCGCTGCATCCCCGTGCACGTGTGGAGTCTCCCCGGAACCAGCCCCCAAGTCCCCGCCGGGCACTCCGCCGCCACTGCGAGCCGGCCCCGGCCCCGGCCCCGCGCCTCCGCGCCCCCGCGCCCCTGCGCCCGTCCACTCACCAGGTGAAGAGTTTGGCCCGCAGCCTGGGCAGCAGGGCAGCGACGGGGTTCGCGGGTCCCTGCGCCTGCGGCTGCGGCTGGGATGGCGGGGCGCCGGGCCCCGCCGGCGGGGCTGCCTCCATCGGGGCGCCCGCGGTCTCCGCGCCTGGAACCCCCAGATGCGCCCGGAACCCCCCGGTGTGCCCGGGCCCGGAAGACGGGAGGCGGCGCCTGGGAGGCCGGCGGGGCTCAGCGCGCCCGCCCGCCCGGTCCCCGCCGCCCGCGCCGGCCCCTCCCGCGGCCAATGATTAACTGTCCGCCGGGGCCCGGCGGGAGCTGTTGGCAGATCGCAGCCCGGCCCGGGGCGGCGGCGGGAAAGGGCGCTCTTCTCCGCCCGGGCAGCGGGGCCGCGGGGCCGCAGGGCCGCGGAGTTGGGGGACGTGGTCGCTGGAGGCTACGTGTCCTCGCTTAGGAAGCCGCGGTTCAGTGACTGCCTGAACTTTGCAAACTGGAGAGACCCGGCTGGCCCCTCCCTCTGACTAATTAGGAAGCATGTTTTCCACCTAGAGCAACTGAAGGCGCTTTTACTTTGGTTTCTTTTTCAAAAAAAAAAAAAAAGGGTAACGTCTTGCAAGGATCCCGGAAACGTGTCTTTGTGGTGTGCCTCCTTCCCCCCCTGGGGTGTGTTGGGCTGGCCTTTCTGTGATCAGTTGTCTGGGAGCTGCCAGCCCAGGGGACCGTACCAAGTGCCAACCCTGGCGCGCGGCCAGGATGCCCGGGCCTGACCACGCCTTCCCTCCGAGGCTTCGGCGGCCCCGGGGACCCGGAGGGAGCAGGAGCCGGGCCCATGCGCGTTCCTGATCCCACTGGCAGGACCTCAGGGGGCACCTGCTGCTTGGAGAAAGGGGAGCAGGAAGACAAAAGCAAGGTTCCCCCCACCGCTTCCTCCCTGGCGCCCGGCGGGAGGAGGTGGAAGAGAGAGAGGAGCCAAATAAATCTAAAGTCAAACAGGTGGACGGTTCTGAGAGGAGATTCTAAGAAGAAAATAGATTTGGGGGGGGGGGGGGGGGGAATGAAACGCAACTTTAGGAGCCCCGAGTGTAGCAGCTCCAGGAACCCCGGAGCCTAAGTGACATGATTTTATTCTGATTGTTGCAGTGAGATGGGGGGAAATGAAAATGAGGAACATGGGCACCCATAGAGAGATGACTGAGTAATATGGTATATCTGTGGTAGCCGTTAGACAGCCAGGAGCAGAGCGAGGACCACGGGCCAGCTGCAGAAGGTCACCAGGTGCACAGCCCCGGGGGCCTAGCAAAGGGCAGTTGTAGGGCGGGACATGGCCTCCAGGGTGACCTTTCCTCCCGAGCATATGGCTGGTCATGGGTTTTGGACCCTCTGCCTTTTTCTCCCTAGAGATAGCATCTGGGCCTCGGTTGTACTTCAGCTCCAGGCCCAGAAACAGACCAGTCACTCCAAGGCTGACCTCAGGACCTGCTGCATTGGACAATGACCCCCTGCCCTGGAGCTGAGGGATTGAATCAATGGAGACCTAGACCCTGAAAGGACACACCTGGAAAGCTGCTGAATATTCTAATAAGACCTTCCCCGGGACCTCTCCTGACTCCACCCTGAAACCTTTAGGAGGAGGACCCAGTGAGCCCAGGAGCACATGAGGCCTTTCCTCTTCCCTCCCCCTTCCTCCTCCCACCCGGCTCAGCTTTCTCACTCCCAAGCTCCAAGGCCCCTTTCTTCACTCCTCTCATTTAATTTCTAGGCACATTTCTTCTACAAATGACTTATTCTACCTCTGTGGCTTTGTTTTATTTTACTAATACACTTGTATTGATTTCAAAGAGGAAGGGAAAGGGAGAGAGAGATAGAAGCATCAATGATGAGAATCACTGATTGGCTGCCTCCTGCACACACGCTCCTCCCCCAACCTGGCACCCAGCGGGCAATCCGGGCATGTGCCCTTGACCAGACTCGAACCCTGCACCCTTCAGTCTGCAGGCAGATACTCTGTCCACTGAGCCAAACCGGCAAGGGCCTACCTCTGTGGTTTTACAAATAAATGTTATTTTATAGTTGGAGTCTTGGCTCTGAGTTCTTTCCTAGCCAGAATTCACGTACCAAGGTTGCGGAGCCCAGGATCAGTGTAACCCTATTGGTCTAACCTCTGGTGCTGGTTCACAGCCACATCGTGAAACATTATGAGGACATTTAAAGAATGGAGAAGAGCTGCGCCATACCTTGAAAGGATTTTCTCTAGCTGTTTTTGAGTGGAAATGGGGAAGTGTTAGGAGGGGGAGAGGGAAAGACAAGGTGTGCTCTGAGGCACCAGGTGTAAGGCAGTGGGGTAAGACCAGACTTGGGGGGACACACCTGATGTATCCCCCCGGACCTTCCTCCCCTGGCATGTTGCCCTCCCTACAGCAGACCCTTAGAGGAGGTATAAATGGGACTGGAGTACAGCTTCATATGATTCCCACACCAGCCCTTGCAGGACCATTTCCTTAAGTGTTAAGCTCTAGAGATCACATGTAGGCCTCCGTTGTGTTTCTGCTGCAGGCCCAGAAAAGCAGCAAGGTCAGATATCGCAGTGGTCGGCAAACTCATTAGTCAACAGAGCCAAATACCAACAGTACAACGATTGACATTTCTTTGGAGAGCCACATTTTTTAAACTTAAACTTCTTCTAATGCCACTTCTTCAAAATAGACTCACCCAAGCCATGGTATTTTGTGAAAGAGCCACACTCAAGGGGCCAAAGAGCCGCGTGTGGCTCGTGAGCCGCGGCTTGCTGACCACGAAGGCAGGGCAACGCCATGTCTGACATCAGGACCAGTTCCCATTACTAATGACCATCTGCCCTGGTCATAACCAGTCAAGAGTGAAGACCAGAACCCTGAGGGGACACACCTGGAAAGCTGATGAATGTCCTACTGAGGTAGAGACCTCCAGATAAAAGCCCTCAGGAGAAGGACCACGCCCACCAGGGCCTTTCTCCACTCTCCTCTCCCCAGGCATGTGTAACCTTCTCTCTTTCTCCTAAGCTCCAGGGGTCCTTCTTTTGCCTCTGTAACTCGTTTCCAGAGCCCACACAGTCTTCCATGGCTCACTTCTACCTCTCTTTCTAAATAAACTTTTGCTTGTAATTCAGTCTTGGCTCTTAGCCAAGGACCAAGGTTGCTGAACCCAGGTCCCATCTAACTCAGCCAGTAATACCTGATGCCATTTCTCCGCTCACACTTCTACATTTTTGTGTTCTTGGAAGTGGCATACTGCAAAGTACAGCATTCCCCGTGCGACTTAGATAAGACCCAGAGGTGCTCTCTGTCACCAGAACAAAGCCAGACACTGACCCTCCAAGTTTATGTCCTTTGCCTTATAAATAATTAGCTGAACTGCCTGTAGCCCCTGACCTTAATCAAACTGGTTCGATTCCTCTTCGCCCTCCAGGCCTGAGCTAGCGTGAAACCTCTTCTTATTAGGCCTGTCCTGAGAACATGTTTGCCTCAGGGTAAGACATTCTCTGATCTACTGTCCAATCAAGAACCCTTTCATTCCACTCCCTCCTGTCAAAGAGTCTCCTTCCTGCTATTGCAGTACCCCCCACACCTTGCAATAATCCTTTCAGATAAAGTCTCTCCTCACCTAAATCAGATATGTTTTTTTATTTGGCAATAGGAATAGTGAGCATGGAGAATAGGATAGGATACATGTCAACAGAAGTAATCTTTTTTTAAAAAAATATATTTTATTGATTTTTTACAGAGAGGAAGGGAGAGAGATAGAAAGCTAGAAACATCGATGAGAGAGAAACATTGATCAGCTGCCTCTTGCACACCCCCTACCGGGGATGTGCCTGCAACCAACGTACATGCCCTTGACCAGAATCAAACCCGGGACCTCTCAGTCTCCAGACCGATGCTCTTCCACAAGCCAAACCGGTTTCGGCAACAAAAGTAATCTTTAAAAAGTTAAGGGATACAGAAAGAAAAAGAGGCTGGTGCGAGTGCAGAGGTGTCTGAAAACTAATTGATCACAGCAATTACAGAAAGGAAAAGAAAAAGAAAACTACTACACTTAAAACACTCCAGCATGCCTGATCCAGTCCCTTTTATGTAAAAACTAAAGGCCCGGTGCACAACATTCATGCACTGCAGGGGTCCCTCAGCCCGGCCTGTACCCTCTCAGGGGATATCCGACTGCCAACTTAGTCCCACTTCAACCACCAGTGCTATACTCGGCAACTCTAAGCCAGCTCTGGCTGAGCAGCATTCCCCCTGTGGGAGCCTACTGACCACCAGGAGGCAGCTCCTGCATTGAGTGTCTGCCCCCTGGTGGTCAGTAAACATCATAGCAACCAGTCATTCTGCCATTTGGTTGATTTGCATACTAAGGTTTTATTATATAGAACTAGAGGCCCAGTGCATAAAATTTGTGCTTGGTGGGGCCCGGGGGCGGGGGGGGGGGGGGGAAAGGGGTGGAAGGGGGGAGATCCTCTCAGACCAGCCTGGACCCTCTCCAATCTGGGACCCCTTGGGGAAGTTGGACATCCCTCTCATAATCCGTGACAACTGGTTCCTAACTGCTCACCTGCCTGCCGGTCTGATAACCCCTAACCGCCTCTGCCTGCCAACTTGATCACTCCGAACTGTGCCCCCCCCCACCAGCCTGGTTGTCCCTTAGTGCCCCCTCTGCCAACCTGATCACCCTTAATTGCCCCACCCCCACCAGCCTGGTCACCCCCATCTGCCCCCCACACCAGTGTGGTCACTCCTCATTGCCCCCTCTGCTGGCCTGGTCACCCCTTACTGCACCCCTGCCGACCTGGTTGCCCCATGCAGCTTACTGGTCAGTTATTTGGTCGTCCCTCACCAACCCCCCTGCTAGCCTGGTCGCCCCACGCAGCCTGCTGTTTGGTTGTTACTGTGAGGGTGTGTTGTGACCAATTTGCGTATTACCCTTTATTAGTATAGATGTGTGTTTTGTATAAACACATGAGATTAAAAGATGGACTTAGATGTTGTGGCAGGCTGAATAATGTCACCCAAAAAATACCCATTCCATCCCTAGAACCAGAGAATGCTACTTTATACAGTAGTCCCTCCCTTTTTCATGATTTCACTTTCCCCAG